AAAAGGGAACATCCCAGCAGTTCAGAGCGGGCAGTTTGTCAGAGAAAAAACCCTTTTCAGTGTCCCCTGAACACCCACCTGTGCCCTCCCCGCTGCCGCTGTGGCTGCTGCGCTGTCACAATCTCTCTGCTAATGAAGCAGTCTGGCCTGAGGCTGCTCTTCCTCCAATTCCCATCCTGCTAAGCCCGGCTTGGTCTGGAGCAAGGAGTAAAGGACAAAGAGCAGAGAATTCTGGCCGTGGCACAACCCTGATGTCGCTGGGACTGAGAAAAAGGATGAGGGATGAGTCTGGATGGCTCAGAAGGTGGTGCTGCTGTGGCTTTTTGGTCTCCTCCCCTGGCCTTTGGCAGGGGCAGTGGCTTGGTAGGGAGAGGATTGGTTTATTCCTCTGGAAATGTGAGATTGTCAGGGAATTGTGTGGAAAGATATGCAGACAGGAGCTGTGGGTGAAATCTGTGCGGGATCCTGCAGGGACAGAGCTGTGGATGGGATCTGAGCTGAATCCTGCACAGACAGGAGCTGTGGATGGGATCTGAGCTGAATCCTGCACTGACAGGAGCCAGGGATGGGATCTGAGCTGAATCCTGCAGGGACAGAGCTCTGGATCCCTTTCTGAGTTGGATCCTGCACAGACAGGAGCTCTGGATGGAATCTGAGCTGAATCCTGCCGGGACAGAGCTGTGGATGGGATCTGAGCTGAATTTTGTCCTGTCAGGAGCTCTGGATCCCTTTCTGAGCTGAATCCTGCAGGGACAGGAGCTATGGATGGAATTTGAGCTGAATCCTGCAGGGACAGAGCTCTGGATCCCTTTCTGAGCTCAGGTTGATCCCTGACAGGTAACTGGGCTCCTCTCTCTCTCCTCCCCGCCTCAACCTGTCTTTCCTGTAAAGGGGCAGGCCCTGCATCTGCAATGAGCTTTTAAAACAGCTCAAAGCACCTTTGATCTCAGTTAGAAACTCAGAGAGCRCTGAAACCCATGTGAATAACAAGTTCCATTTAGGAAGTTTTCCCTTCTTTTATGTCGAATAGTGGAGGAATATCCAGGAGAGTAAAGTAAAAAAGTAAATTTTTAAATTAAAAAGTAATTCGTCCATGAAACTGGTGATAGAATGTGGAGGAAAATATTTGTTAAGAAAGAGATCTGTGTGTGAAGCGTTGTCTCCACCTGGAAAACACTTCATGGCCCAGGTAACTTTGACCTGAGAGAAAGGTTTTGTTCCAATCACATGTGATGTATTCTGGAGAACTGAAAGTTGAGAAATGATTATTATTTCCCATTTGCTGTGGCAGTGCCTCTGTGAGCAAATGAAGAACGACACTTTCACTTTGCTGGGTGTCCTGGAAACACACAAACAAAACACACAAAAACACACAAAAACACACAAAAAACCACTGAGATTCCCCCCAGACTTGGAAACAGCTCCGATTCCTCCGTGTGGGATTTGCAGAGTACCTGGCTCTCCCTCTCCCTGTGCATGGATTTTTGTGGAGCTCTCTGATCTGCTCTCCAGTGGTGAATCTGTTCACATTAATCCCAAAAGCTCTGCTATTAAAGAGACTGGAGCTGAACAACTCCACACTTTGAGCTGAACTCAGACACCGTTCAGAGCTCGTGATCTTCATCACAGGGAGGACTCCTGGGTCACTTCAGGCTGATGGGATCACTCTCAACCCAAATTTCTCTGGGTTCTGCCAGATCTTCCTCCGTGTGTGAGAAAGGTGCCTGCAGGACCAAGGCCACTCTTGTCCTGCTCTCCTGTGACYTCTCCTGGAGGAAACATTGAGATTTCTCTGGAGAAAGCTGTGGCCAGGCCATCCTTGTGTTTGGAGGTGGAGCTGCTGCTGGGAATGGAGGTGGAAGGATTATAACCCTGATGGCTGTAAAAGGAGGGAAATTCGAGAAAAAAAATCTCCACTCCGCTGTAAAACATGGAAAGAAATCAGGCCCAGGAAGCCAAACTCCAAAGAAGACGGGGTCAGGAGAAGCATGAAGGAGATCTCAGCGTTCTGCAGAGCCCAGTGGAGCTGGATGTGCCAGGAATKAAAGTTTCTGGGAGCTAAGAGTGARCCCTTCTCAGCACAGCCCTCCATCCAGAACCCTCCGACTGCCACAGACAATGTCTGTGTCTTCCACAGCCTCTTCCAAGCATTTTCCTTGGTTCATTAGGTGATAATAGAAAGTGATTTTTTTCCCCTGTCATCTTGAGCAATCAGAAGCATTAAGAATAAGAGCTTAAGGCTGAAAGCCCAAATGAGAGGGTTTGATGGGTCTGTGGATCTGCCTCCTTCATTAGAGCCAGAGGCAAAGATGGATCCCAGAGCCGGAGCTTCTTGGGAATAAAATGGGGAAAAAAACAAGGAGTGTGGTCAGGAGAAAACTGAGAAAACACCGGGGCGTTTATGGCTCAGGAATTACCCTGCCAGCTCTGCCAGTGGCTGTTGTCACACAGCAAATCYACTTCTCATTGAAAGGCAAATTCAATCTGCCAGAAGACGGCAAAGTCATGAGAGACAGCTTGGGACAAAGCAGAGAACTTTGTGCTGCACAGCTCTCACTGTTCTGCCACCTGCTAAA